GAGCATGGAGCCAAATAGATGCTTTCAGGTACAGGCATGCCTCATTGCACTTTGCTTTATTTTGGGTCACAGATGTTGCGATTTTTACAAGTTGAAGGCAAGGCCCTCCACCAGCAAAAAGATATTAACTCACTTTATTGTGAGACTTGCTTTATTGAGGTGGCCAGGAAGCCAACCCACAGTATCTCTAAAGTGTGCCTATGCCTACATCATGTTAGGGGAAATCTGTCCTGAGGAACCTGGTATGAAGCCTTCTCTCATAAGGGCCTTTCCTTTGGAGCACAGGGACACCAGCGACTCTGCTAGGACTGAGTTACCTAAATGAAGAGACAAGTGATTTTCCCTTCATAGTAAACCTTGGGAAACCAAGAGGAAATACCAAAATTGGTTGCTGCTATGTGCAGGACAAATCTGACCAATTATGAAGGCACATCATCACCAACTTTCAAAAAAGACAATTGCAGGAACTTAAATGAAACTGACAGGTTTAACCAACTATTCATCCCTCCTTGTGGTAGTTTTTGTTTTTGTTTTTAATAAAGGAAAGAACTAGATGCCTTTATTCTGTCCTACACAATAAAGAAATAAACAAAAAATAAAGTCAGTTTTTTAAAAAACATTTTTAAAAATTAAACAATGGTTTCTGTATGCATCTTACTCCCAATACTCCCAACTCTGTAACAGAAAGTAAAGTCAAATTTTTGTTCCTACAAACCCACCTGTCTCCACAAGCTCCCCAATCTTTGCCCCTCCCACAGCCATAGCACCTGAAGCTTGTTTCTACTATCCTAGCACCATTCCTCACATTATTCATATTCATCTCACCTTCTTCCTTGTGTCTGTGGTTAAGAAACTCAGATAAGGGCCCACCGAGTGTCGCATTGGTTAAGAGCTGGCTTGGGATGCCAGAGGGCCCCGGTTCGGATCCCACATATGAGGGCCAGTGACACTGCCCTCTACAGCCAAGATGCTGAACAACAGCTCAACCTGGAGCTGGGCTGCTGTGAGTCGCCGGCCATGGCAGGTGGGTTGCCATGGGCTACCGTGTGTAGCCAGCAGCCAGCGTGAGCAGCCAGCAGCCTCTGTGAGTGGCCGTCCAGAAGCCGGCAACTGATCTGCCTCACCCGGGAAAAGCCCAATGATGGTGCCAGTTTGGGCCAGTGAAGCAACATCCTCCACAACTACATTGAAGAACAAAAGGATAGCAACTTGTCTGTTCCCCTTCCCCCAATTCCCCAATAAAAATCTTTAAAAAGAAACTCAGATAGGTTACTATATCTGGGTGTAGCAGTCCATATGTTCTGGTAGGTTTTAGTAAAATGATTACTACGTTATGATCCCTGAATTACTCAAAGAAAATAAGATAGATGTAAATGTATGGATCTGATATCTTGAAACACTTAGGGTTATTTTTAAATCTCTGTAAACCAGTTCTTTCAAAAAAACGTTGTAAACCAGTTCTTTCAAAAAATAGGTCCATCTAATTTGTTTCTGGAACATGAAATATCACTTGCTTGCTAGTCATAAAATAGATATGTATATATGACCCATTATCTCAAGCCAAGTAGTAATTATTGTAGACAAACTCTGCATCAGGCATCCTTTGGTTTCATGAATAAAAATGAGCAAGACATGGCCCCAACATCAAAGAACTCAGTTTAGTGGAAAGCCAGTGACATAAATAAAAAATTACAATACAGTCTTGGTGAATAACAAAATGGACGTATGTACCTGGTACAGAAAAAGCACGAAAGGAGAAGTTTTTGTGGGTTTTTGGAGGCTCCTTCAAAGGCTCACCTGCCAACAGTATACACATTCTTCCTCAAACCTGCCATGGTGTGTGCAATATTAACAATGAGAGTTATTCGTTTGGAAAAATGAATTATTTCCAGACAGCCCACACACCATGTTGGTGTTACTTAGAAAAGCATGATTTCTGAACAACTATTATTGTATTAGCATAGAGTCATTTATACTTTTAAAAACGGAACACAAAATGTGTGTGTGTTTTGGTGAGAAGGTAACTTAAAGGTGAGTTCATGGAGCGCAGCCCATCAAGGACTAGCTCAGATGGGACACATATTCAGAAGGACCTAGATAGTGGATCCACATCATGGGGACATGACCTAATAGTGACTAGGGCTTGTCCTGACCAGATTTACTAAAAACAGTGTTATTACTCACTGTTTCTCCTAAAACTAGGTCACTAATTAATCAATCAAAAAATTAGACACATTTCTCCCACTTTGTGTTTTTATAATAGTCTTTGGAGTCAAATCAAGACCACCCTCCTCTTTTCTAAAACTGACAGGATTTTGTCATGCCCTGTTGCCAGCAAGATCTCACCCAAAAGCAGGAAGGAAAAAAACTGAAAACAGGTTTCTGAGGCTGATGCTTAGGTACGTGGTAGCTGCTTTTCCTCCTGCGTTTTCCATGCAAGATTGCTTTAGATTGCTGTTAACATATTTATGTCTCCTCTGTTCTCTTTAGAAAAGTCACAAATTCCTTCTCTCATTAGAGGACAGCTGGTGCTAGCTACCCCCTCTAACCTTTCTTTAATCAACTCCGTCAGTTTCTTTCCATCCCTGCCTTAAGCAGATGAGGAAAAAAAGAAAGCCTCTAAGAGTTTAAAAGAGTAAAGTTCAAGAGAGGCTAAATAATGACTCAGCATCATTAACTATCAACAAAATTTGTGGCAACAATTGGGCTCTAGATTTGTCTCCAGTTCCCCTACATCCTCACTACATGGAGATTAATCAGAGCCAAATGGGAAGGAGCTTGGCGAGTTGAGTGAAAAAGGAGTTAAAAAGTACAGATTGGTAGTTACAAAATAGTCATGGGATGTAAAGTATAGGGAATATAGTCAATAATATGGTAATAACTATGTATATTATAAGGTGGGTACTAGACTTACAGAGGTGATCGCTTCATAAGTTATATAAATGTCTAATCATTGTTATACACCTGAAACTAATATGATATCATATGTTGACTGTAATTAAATTTTTTTTGACAATCAAATAAATAAAATAAAAAATTTGAAAAGGTTAATGAAAGAATGATTTTCATTTCCACACCATGCTCACATTGTATTTTTGAATGGTAATTACAACTCAACTGTTGCTATGATTTACAATGTTTTCCTCTAATTGACAAAAAATTTAAAAAAGGGGAGGTTCTTGGAAGAGAAGTTTATTGATAATAAAAATGGCACAATTATTTATATGAAAAAGACTAAAATTTTTATACATAAGACTTAAATTTTTATTTCTAATTGGCATTAAAACTAGAGCATTTAAAAAAACTGTATAGTAGCATGAACTTATCTGATCCATACTTTAGGTAAAATGTCATTATAAACAAGACAAAAAAGAAAAATCTTTCATTATCTATACTCCATATTGAACACCCGGAATGTACATGACCACTTCAGAAACATCACAGTTCTGAAATAAATAATCATACTTTTATTCACTGATATAATGGTTAATTTTTTTCCTATTTGTACCTTTCATCTCTACTCTAAAGAAATATATATAAGTGAGGGGGAAAAAAGCCAAGATGAGGAGTCCTTTAATCTAGTCTGTAGCTGTAAACTGTGTGGCTGAGGGGAGGGGTTTAACCTGTGTTTTATTAACTCATAGAGTAGTGTAAGGTTTTACAAAATACATGAGTCAAGGAAATTTCCAGGAAGATTCTTTACATCATCAATTACCTTCTGGTACCCTCCCACCTTCCTATCTTCGGCCAGGATCTGTAGTAGAGCACAATGCAATTGATTTGAGGATTGTGACTTGCACATCTTTTTTCTTCATTTATTATACACTTGGGGATAGAATGAGCTAGAATCCATGACTCATTGCAGCTGGATTGTAAATGAGGAAAGTTGGCCCCACCCATTCCTACTGGGAATTGTTAAAAACATTTTAGGAAAAAAAATTTTTTTGACCCATATTTTTCTTGGCTAAACCATCTCAATTTAGTTAAGATTAGTTATTTTCCTAAATCAGCTATTTCCTTATGGAACAAATATGTTGCCTTCTCTTCCCACTTCAAAATGAAAATTCAATTCACAGGCTGATAGAGTCTAAATATCCATTACTGAAAACACGGAAACAACACAAAGATACCAGCTGCCTAAAAATCAAGAAATGGAAGGAAAACTTATGAAGCAAGTATGCAAATGAATAATCAGATCAGGTATCATATTTGAGCCAACATAGTTTTAGAGCCCACAAAGAATATTTGCACAGTTTCCATCTTTTTGTCAGAAGTTATATTAAATCAGGGTTTTTCATCTACATTACAATTCACTACGTGTTAAAAAAGGGAATGGGGGTGGGTAGCAGCCAATTCATAGTGACCAGACACTGCAGAAGGAAAAAGAAAGAAGAGGTGGAAATAAAATCAGGTAAAACTAACACGTGTTTTATTATGTAAAGTAAGTGGGACTTCAGGGCACACACTGTGAAAAAATACCCTTCAAACATTGCCGTGGTGAAAATGGAGTCCTCTTTATCAAATAAATTCCCCTTTATCCAGAACCATTGTAAATAAGGATCGTATGTGTACACTCAGTTATAAAGGTTATACATATCTACAAGACTCCAAAGCACCTTGTGAATAAAAAAATAAGTCTGAGTTATTTACCACGCACTTTTATTGCTAACTACATTTTATTGTTTTCAAATAAGGTGATAGTCTTATTGGATATTATATTGCTGGGTCAATGAGAATGTTCTAATAATCAGAATATTTCATTCCTCAATCACACAGCCTAAAAAGAAAGTTTAGCCTAATACTTTTAAATAACTATTATATGTGCCATTAATTACCCTGGGGAAAGCTCTTTTAAAAAGAAGCTTTTTCTGTTTCTATGAGTCTGTTTGTGTTTTGTTTTGTTGGTTCATTCGTTTTGTTGTGTTAGACTCCACATATAAGTGAAACCATACTGTATTGACTTTGTCTGACTTATTTCACTTAACATCATACCCTCTCAAGCAGAATATAGTCAATAATATTTTGATGTTTGCACAGTGACAAATGATTACTAGAATTAGTGGGGAGATTACGCGATAAAGAATCACACATATGTCAAATCACTATATTGTACACATGAAATATAATTACTAATAATATAATATTGTATATCAACTATACTTAAATTAAAAAGAAGAAGCTCTTTCTGGGTAATTTGTCCTGTCATACTGACAGGTCCTTTACTTTGAGCATCAGTGGATCTTCCGCGTGGAAACTGCATTCTCTGATCTTCCTCACTGTGGTTCAGCTATAGCAAAGGTGGGGTTCCTGCACTGAGGCCTCCAGGTCTCTCTCTGAGTTTAGAACTTCCTTTACTCTTCCATTTAATAGGTGTGGAGGAGGCAGTCATATAGAACTAAGTGACTTGCTCTTGCATGAAAAGGTCATACACAAGAAAATCGGAGACAGAGACGGGTCAGAATTCTTAAATCCCCACTTCACTGCCTGGCTGCTGGAAAACATCAATTCTCCTTCAGCTCAGTTTGTGCTTCGCCTATGTGTCGCACATGGTCACCTGCTCTAGCTCCCTTTCTGTTCACCTAGAATGCTGCCAGCACGCAGATGTTCAAAAGGTCACATTCTAGGGTTAATGTGTGATCAAACTAATTTTCTTTGTCATCTAAAACAATAAGCTTAGGGAAAAAGTTTAGAAGCTAAACAGAAATCTTTGGAAGTTTTACAAATTAACTTAAGCATTTAGTAGTGACAAACTTCAGTAACGTTTATCATGTGTTAAAGATAATTATCAATTAACTTTCAAATGGGCCCAGTAAAAAAGGTCCCAACAGTGGCTTGTACCTATGCTGAAGTTATAGAGAATCCTTTTTGTGAGTAGAGAATGAAAAGAAATACTGAGATAAGGGAACTGCCTTCACACACACACACACACACACACACACACACACACACACACGCTGTTACCCATACATAACTTTGCAAAATATCTGGATATCTTCAAGGCTTTCAATAGCTTTACAGTGGCACGTACTCAGCCTAGAGAGTTAGTTCCTGGTATCCTCTTAATGAATGAAACCGGCAGTTATCAAGTTAAGGGGGAAAAAAAAAGTGAACCAAGTATTTTATCTTATGGTCACTCTATCCCTGGTCAGAAAGAAATCAAACTGTTCCAGATTGTTTTTGGCAAATATGAAGACATATTAACAGCTTTAAAAAAAGAGATACTGACATACTTAACAATAACATGATCTTGATAAATATGCTCAGGAAATACAAAACTCTGGTAGAAGCATCAAGTACAAGCCTAACTCTATACTCAAGCCAAAGGTTCTGCTTCAGTAGTTTGATCCCCAGAAAAACTTAGTTTTATTTAGATGGATATCTGACTATAAACTATATTAAAACTACTTCAAAGGCTTCTCATTCCATCTGACAATAACAAACACATTACAAAATAGTCACTTCCTAAGCTTGCCTTCTCCTATAATAGATTCACCTTCTCTTCCTCCTGGGAAATCTGAGGCATGGGTATTAAGAGACACCCTTGGAGACACAATGCACCCCCAAATCCCAGACCCGGATGTGTTCTTGTAGAATGCTTTCCAGAACTCATACAGTTTTGAATTTCTTTAAATACAGCTTAGGTATAAAAATGTTTTGTAAGTATAAACATTGTCACATCTCTTATTACATGCTGAAATTTTAAACTGGAAAAAATATTTTTTTTCCAAATTTAATGTTTTTTAACAGAATATTCTTCTTCCAACAGAGTTCAAAATCCAGGTTAATTATATGATAAAAGTAACAAGTGATCTCCATCTTCTCTAGGCTTCTGATCAATTCCAAAATAAGAGTTTTGATTACAGCTCTTCCCTGCCATGAAAAACAAAGCATAATTAATTGAAAAAAAGAAGAATGTACTGAAATGCACTTCTGCTGTAATACATTGCCAAGCTATGTTCCTAAAATCACCAATACTTTCTATTTTCTTTCTTTGCAGGAAAGTTGTTGCTGTGCTTTGCTAAGTTTAAAAATAACTCTGCTCTACAAACACCACATAATGCTTTTACCTGAATCCTAAATCAAGTCGATCAACATTTTCTTGGGCTACTGGTAGATGAAAATGCTGAGACTCAGTGAAATCGAAAATATTGTACAGATTATGTGCCTAACATATTTTCAATGCCGTCTTCCTCAATGAGCACCCCTGTTAAAATTATATTGTCTGTGTGGACTTCCTTTTGTTTTACTGATCTTCTTGTTTAAATCTTATATGTTACATGGGGCTTTTCTTTTGTTTTTGGTTTTGTATATTTTAACACCAGACATTTTACTTGAAGAAACTGGAACATGTAGTCAATCTGTCTCTCCCTAATTAGGCTCTCCTTAACCCTTTCTTTGGATATCTTAGCCTAGATGAGATGCATTTTTAACTCAGGAAACACATTTAGGCAGGTGGGTCTAAGGGGCTTATAAAAGGTCTTGAGAGAGACAAAAATGTCAGTTATGTTCTTTCTACTGGATACCACTGGAACGGAGCGCCAGAGGCTATCTGCTGGCTGGAGATGCCAGGGTGAGTGGGCATCCTGGTTTAAAAGGCAGACTCCTGGTAATACTGCTCTGGCGAGGTTGGCAGCACCTCCCAGGGCCAAGTCAGATGTTCAGAGATTTTTAATGGACTCTCCATAATGCACGTGGAATTAGAAAAGTATCTTCCTCAATTTCCTAAGTGTCAATTCATCTCTTCCTATCAGAGAGGAACCATGAATGAGGGGCTGCCCATCAGAGAAAACGGATTTGGAGCAAAGGGGCAGAAGCTCCAATCAGGGCCATGGGTATTATCCTGACCCTTCATCAATTTCTTCTATGTATAAGCATGCATGAATGCTCTGGTTTTTCTCTTTTAAAAGCCAGGTAAAGATATTTGGACTGTGTGGAACCCACTCATGAGGAAGCACCTTTGTGAGGGCAACAGTAAGACCAAATATCAAAACCAAATTATAATTCCACCCACTACTCAATTAATGCCCATAATGGTCTCTTTACAAGATAGTCTTTGTGTGTGTGTTTTTGTTGTTTTTGTTTGTTTGTTTGTTTGGGGGTCTTTTTTGCAACCTAAGTATCGTTATGGATCCTGGGGAGCAAAGGGAAATAAACTACAGATACTTGCTCAAAATGCACGCTGAGAAAAGCAAATGGAAAGATAGAATGAAATGTTAGATGAACTTGACAGAAATAAGAGAAACAGTTTAATTAGATTTGTGTAATTCAAGGCACAGTAAAAACAGTATCTATAGAGATAGAAAAGGAAGTGTATGTTAAAATAATGTGAGGATGTATAGCTACTCAAACGATTTTCATAGAAACTATCTATGAAAAATATTTTATAGCATTAACTCCTGGGTGATATCTAGGGTAAAAGAGAAAATATGACATAGTCCAGGAAGCTCAAGGCCAGAACACGGTGTCTTAGTTTTAAATTTTCTCTGCCATTTGCTATCATTGTGACCTGGAGTAAGTCCCCTCCACTTTCTGAGGCTTCCTTTCCTTGTTTATAAAACTTAAATAAAAAATTTTCAATTTATAAAGCCATTATGAGAAATAAATTAGGTAATCTGTATGGAAATGTACTAACTGTAGAGATTTCAGCAAATGTCAGTTATCACCAGAACCCATGTTATATGGACAGGAATTATGTGCCCACACTAGAGCATTTGTTCTAAGGCAAACTGCTAAGAACTTGAATGGGGGTACTGCTCCTAACACTTACATTTGATGTTCTCTCACAAATGCTGCAAACTCAGGATCATTGGCATACAGTTCCAAAATTCTCATTCTTTCTTGAATCTCCTTTAAAAAACAAAGAAAAGAAAAAGGCCCATACATTGAATTAGAAAAATCTCAAAAGCCTTTTAGAAGTTCTAATTTTTATGAGGAATTGCGGCTTTCTGGGCTATCCACGGAGCAGCTATAGGAAAGAATGGCCTTTTCGGTGAAATGGAAGGTTTGTATACAAAATGAACTTTTCTGAATAACTTAGGCATATATTTGTAAGGAAGAGAGGGAGAGAGCATTTGCTAATAATAGAAAAAAGAAACCACTTGCAAGGGAATAAGATACAGCTCAGATTCGTATACCCTCTGCATGCCACATCAACTGAGAGGTATTACGAGGTAAAAACTAATCACAGAATACTTCTCATCTTCCCTTGAAGCCCATGTACACACACAGGCACGCACGCAGACACTCATGCACACACCAGGGGCTGCGGCAGCAGCAGCAGCAGAAAAGCAAAGTTTCCTACCTTTCTGGAAAGCCCACTATTCTCATACATTTGTCTGATTTCTTCCCTGCTCAGACCACCAATCACTTCTCCACCTGCAGAGCTGCAGAAGGGATGCTGAGGATAGGGTCCTTCATATTGCTCGAGTCCGGCGACATGGCTTTCATATGTGGGATTGTACTTCACAGCATCCTCAATGGATGAGAGGCTGTCAGACTGCCTGCTAGAGCCACAGAAAGAAACGTATGGTTGATTCAGGTTCTTCTTCAGATGCTCAGCTACTTGGAAGACTATGGACCTGGAGCAAGATTTCTTTTAAGAAAGAAAAAGAGGTGAACTGGACACAAATGGGGGAAGATAACTGCGAAAAATGTCCAAGTCAATCTCAAAAATTATTGATCAGGTGTTATTATTATCTCCTCAACTAAACGGTAAGTGCCCTGTGGAATTGTTCCATGTCTCATTCATCTTTATTTGTCTCCCAGTGCCTGGCACTCAATAAATGTTGATGGGGAAATATGCCTGCCAGTGGATAGTATTTCATGAAATGCATAAGCCTCCATCATTCCCAGAGTAGACAAATCAAAACTCAGTGTGTAACCACACAGGGAATCTGACAGAAATATAAATATTGGGGTACTGGGCCTTAATTAAATTCAATTCAGATCCACAAATATTTACTGAGCATTGATTATGTGCCTAAGACTATTCTAGACGCTGATGATACAAAGAATTTGTTGGAATCCCTCTCCAGAATGAGATTAGAGGCTAATGAAAAGTCAGACTCAATAAAAAGCATAAGAACAATGATGGAAGTATATGCCCTAGGAACCGAGGAGTAGAGGGCCCCCTTAGGAAGCCAAAGGCAAGGGAAAGGTAACCTAGACCGGAAGCAGTAGCTCTTATAGACTCCAGAAACACAGAAGCAAAGTACTACCAGGGATTCTGAGCACATAATAACCTAAAAGGTCCTTGGATTGCTATTCTAGCAAGTAGAACAGGTTTTATTTTCTCCACTGATAAAGCTATGCTTAACTAAAGAGAGAACTAAGTTTCATTTCTTGTCAGATCTGACTAATCACCACCGGAATGAATCAAAGGGGAACAAACGTACAGATCTGATCCTCACACAAGGGCCTCACCTCCTTTCCATCATCTTCTCAATCACCCCACCACCTTGAAACAGGCTTTCTGGTCACAGTCAATGATGCCTTGAGATTCATGCTTGCATCCCTGACTTGGCTAATGCTCATTCATTAATGCTCAATAGCTGGCAAGCGTCCCACCCACCGCATCAAACAACTACTTTGCTGTCCAGCTAAGATAACCATCATTCAAACTTCTAAGACTCTCATCCCCAGGTGAAACAAATGCATCCCTCATCAAGGCCCCTTCACATCTTAGTCATACTGCTGCTTATGTTTGTTTCCAATTGGACAACCTTCAAGGACAGGAACTATGTTTTCATTCAACTTTATAGCTTTCTCCCCTCAACCTTCATCCCTGTCCAATATTTGGTGCATAGTAAGTACAAAATGAATGAATAAAGGAAACATTTGATTCCATCAGAGAGCAATTTTCTTTATTTACCCAAAGGGCCTCTTTCTTTCTCTCCTAACATTCTGAGCTTGAAGAGTCTTGACAAGGAAGAAGATGACAGCAGAAGAGATGAAAAGCAGTCCCAGCACAGAGGCGATGGTGACGCCTATCACCAAGGGCTCGGACACAAGCTCCTCACAGTGCTCACCGCGGTACCACCAGTTCTCACCCACCCGGCATCTGGAATGAGAAGTGAGCAAGTCCAAAAATGGAATCACTCTGCTGAGGACAACCATTAACAGCAGAGCCTTTGGCAGGACTGGAGAAAGATAGAGAAAACAATCAATAAATGCTGACCACATGAAACTGCAGTAAAGAGGTGAATACACAGGTTAAATGATCGTACAATTTAAGGCTGTGCAGAATGCCTGGCACAGACCCAGCAGGTCCTCAATGACTATTTGCAAATGGCAGAATGAAAGACTGACTAGACTTAAAGGAAGTATTCTAGTCAACTATCTTAGTTATAGATAACAAAAAATGGGCCCAGAAGGAAAGTGACCAGTGTGAGATCACATGATTACTCAGCAACAGAGCTGGGCCTAGAAGCCAGGTCTCCAGACTCCACAGGTCTTTTCACCGCGCTGCAGAGATCCTCAAACCCCAGTGCTCAAACAAACTTGAGCAAAAATGTCTTCCATTCCCAGAGAAGCAGGGAAATCACTGCTTTTCCAAATAATATTAATTGCTCTGAACTTTCAATACTACTTTTCCTCTTAGTTTCCTAGCTAAACATTACATTTTTTCACATATAGATGCGGGATCATCTCTACCTATTTCTTCTGTTTTTGGCATCTATGCCAACATTTGACCTTTCTCACATTCACGAAGTGTCCTCTTGTTTGTGTTTCCCTGGCTTATCTTCAGCATTCTCTGCTTCTATACCATGTGACTATGGTTGTATGTAGTTGGGAGGCTGACTTGCTCTGCTTTGTTTAAGGGGAGTGGGCAGGGAAGGATGGTCAGGCTACCTGAATCTGCCCATATGACTGCTGCATTTTCTTTGGTTCTACCTTTAAAAAAAAATGGATCATGGGTACTTAAAATATATTTGTCATAACTTGGAAGATTTTAAATACTTGCTTTTCTTTATCTTTGAATACCCAACAGCAGCCCAAAGCCATTAAGAACATAATCCAAATAGACTAAAACTCCTTTGTTTTCACTCTCAGATATAGTACAAAGTGTTGAACGTATGCCTAAATCTAATTTAAGCACCAATTGCATTACCATCACCACTAAGAACCACAACACAGAGATCTCCAACTACTCCAAGTACTCTCAGTAGGACACTGGACAATGTTTTTCTTACAGCAACATAAAAGCATAAAATAAAATAACCATGTAAACTGGGTATGATTCAGACCTTTTAAATGATTCAGTCTTCACTTGAGAACTAGATGGCACCAATCTATTGCCCAGCTATAGCTTCTATAACAAATACTGCAGTGTTTATCCTACAATTATAGGTGTATACCCCTTTTCTTCAGAGGAAGTATCTATTACTTTGTGAAGCCAAAACCCCTAACTACACCATACCTACAAATGGCCCCATGTCCGGGCATAATGTCACACTTTCCATCATTCAAGCAGAAGTCAGGCTGTAGGTCACAGAGACTCTGACAGGGCAGTTCTTCCACACTCAGGTACCCAGGGTGGCATCTGCACTCTGCTTCTCCACTCCAGGGACTGACCAAACACTCGGAAAATTCATTGCATGCCTGGAACTTGCATGGGTCGGCTTGATCACCTAAAACATTGAACAAACCAGAGAAGGATGCAAGGAAAGGCAAAACACAGGAGTTGGGGTACATGAAGTTCCTTCACTAAGGCTCCCCCCTCCAAAGTGCCATGGGAAAACCCCTTTCCTGAACCACTAAAATATGATACACCATCACTATAAATACCATTTAAAAATTCTGATTCATCCTAGGATTCTTTCCTACAGACTTCAGAGAGAACATGGCCCTGCCAAAACCTTGATTTTGGATTTTGGGGTTCTAGCCTATGCGAAAATAAATTTCTGTTGCTATAAACCACCCAGTTTGTGGTCCTTTGTTCCAGCTGCCCTAGGAAACTAACACAGGGACCACTGATAAGGTGCTCATGTGATAAGGAGAGCACACAAATGTGATGGCAGAGGGGCAGTTTCTACAAGCAGATGATACAGCAGGATTCCACTCTGTATTTCCTGAGTCCTCACAGCCTTATCCTCATATTCATTTTGTGATGTTGTTATCAGAAAATAACCTAATCCTGGACAAGCAGCAAGAAATAGGAGAGTATAAAGGAAGTGAGAAGCATCATATTGCATGGCTCCCTTTGTTGATGGAAGTTCAAGACTTTTTGTGAAAACAAGTTAGGCAAGATACAAGTCAATCCTGTCTCTAGCAATTCCTGAGATAAAATAATATTTTAATCTGGATGCCTTTAACTAAAACTATACAGGTAGAAGGAAAATTCTATTTACAAATTCTAAAACATTGTGAGCATTCTATAGCTGTGGGTGAGTGTCTGTGGAAGGAAAATAGGGTCTATAAGAGGAAAGAGATGTTTCCAGACCAAGGGAAGAGACCAAGACTAATATTTTAATCATGTAAATAAAAGTGTAGCTTTAAAGTCATTTTCCAGTCCTTTGTGAAGGTTAAAGGTGAATGGCCAGAATAGAGGCCTTTTTTTTAAGAGTGCCTAAATGACTTCTATAATACATGGGAAAACAAAGGTAGACCTGGAGCTAAGGCTAGAATAGGAGACAGGGATCGAAATGGTAGAATGAATTTTGGTTTTCCAAGGGCAGTCCAAAAAAGGGATTGATGGGTACAGAAAAATGAGAATGAAGAGGGTCTGAAAAGAAAGCCAGAGTGGCCAGAGGAACATGGCATTTGGTTTTATAAATCATTGGTATGGCTAGTCAAATGCCTTCAAAAATGCTATTTGTTTAATCCTTAGACTAACCCCATGAAATTCATAGGCCAGGTAATATTATCCTCATTTCATATATGACAAACTAAGGCTCAGAGATAAAATAGCTCATCTAGGGTCATGCAAATGATAAAAGGCAGAGCACAGGCAAGAAATCAGGCCTTCTAAATTACAATTAATTGCGTCTTCCACTATACCACATGAAGAATGTGCAGCTGGCCTTAGAGAACTCAAATGGCAAGAGATTTGGATATTGGGGGCATTAGTTAAATCATTTTCCTCATTTCAGTGAATAATGGTCCTTCCAGGATTTCAAAGGAAAGAATGTTTGCTTCATTCTCAATTAAAAATAGGGCTGGGGTGGCCGGGTGGCTCAGTTGGTTAGAGTATGTGCTCTGAACAACAAGGTTGCTGGCTTGATTCTCACATGGGCCAGTGAGCTGCACCCTCTGAAACTAGACTGAAGACAACGACCTGAGCTGAGCTGCCAGTGGGCAGCTGGCTGGCTCAGTTGGTTAAAGCATGTGCTCTTAACAACAAGGTTGCCAGTTCGATTCCCCATGGGATCGTGGGCTGTGTCCCCCCACAACTAAATTGAAAACAGCGACTGGACTTGGAGTTGATAGATCCTGGAAAAAACACAATGTTACCCAATAAAAAAATTTTTTAAAAAGAAAAAGAATAGTGCTGACATTCAAACAGTTTTGAGAGTAAAAGGCATTGGATAAATACAAACCCAGACATTACTTCTTTACCACTACTCAAGACCACTGTCCTCTGGTATGTGGAAGGTAAAAAAAGAACAAAGTCTGAAGATTCAACAGTATTTTCTGCATCCAAGTTTTCTAAATAAAATCTATGGTTCATTTCATTCATTCACAGTATTTGTGAGTACCTTCTATATGCAAGACATTGTGGTTAATAAACAGATATAGTCTTATTCCTTGTAATAGCTCAAGTGGGGATAATAACCATTAAGCAGCTATGTGCATAAATTAGCATTATTACAATAGTTATAAACTCTGTAGCAGGAAAAGAATATATTGTTACAAGAAAAACTAATAGGAGAGACCCAATCTAGATTATGGATGAGTCAGTGAAAGTCTTAAGGAAGAGACATTTGAACTGAAGCATGAAGGGTAAGCAGAAGTCAGCCAAGAGTAGAAGAGTTTCAGACAAAGGAGATAGCTTGTGCAAAGAATTTAAGGCAAGAAAAGTTTTTTTAAACCAAGGAACTAAAAACGAGCTAGTTTGACTTAGTGAGCAAGGAAGTTAGTTTCATTGGATGATATTGGGGAAGATAGAGACCAGGCCTTGTGGCTACTGAACCAGGCAGCCACGGAAGTATTTCAAGCAGGAAAGTGAAATAATATGATTGATGTGTAAGAAAGAGCCCCCTGGCTGCTGTGTGGAGAATGGCTAAGGGAAAGGAACAAGAGGGGTAGTGGGGAAACTGGTCCACATGGGAGATGACAGTGTTTGGCCTAGAGTAGTGGCAGTGGAGACAGAGAGGAGTATATAGATTTGAGATATATTTAGAATTCAAAATCAGTTTAAGTTTGGTGAATGACTAAAAGTTGGGGGTGATGGAAACAGATATCAGAATGACTTCCCAGGTTTCTGGCTTAAGTAGCTGAGTGGACACAGCTCCTATTTATCAAGGTGATGAAGCTGAGAGGAATAGATTTAGCTGGAAGGTAGGGAGATACAGAAAACAAGAGCTCCGTCTTCACATCTTAAGTTTGATATACATAGAATACATCCAAGCTGAGGTCATCAAGTATGTAGTTAGATATTGATTCTGGATCTCAGAAGATAAATCTGATCTGCATATAAAAATGTGGAGAGTTATTGACATCTACATTAGATTTACAATAATGGAAATGAATAAAACAACTTAGGAAATTAATATAGAAGGGAAGAGAGTCCAAATCTACTGGGCTTGGCAACACAGAGATATAGCAAGAACAAAGAGATTCAGTGGATAAGTAAAAGAGAGAACCAGATAGAGTAGGTAGAAAAGGGAACGGGAGGTAAACAAGTAAAGATAACGTGTGCACAACCCTTTTGAAAAGAGAATGATATTGATGTCCTTGGAAGAGATATTTTACTAATTATCAAGATGTGGAAAATTTGCCTGACATACTACTCTTTCATCTACTATTGAATTAACCTTGACTTAGGATAGAATACATGAGAATAATCACTGGATTCCACTAAAAAACCACCACGGGAATCAATATCATTACCTGATTCGACATCAAGGGAGTATTTATCAATATCCAAGTTCATGGTTTGGTAGGCCGTGGTGCAAAAGTCTTCCAGAACCATGTAGACAGCATTGTTGACATCAGGAGGCACAGCCTTGGCAAACTTCATTCTGCTGTTCACCACAATACTGCCATTTCTGAAGTTCAGAATTTCTAAATTCTGGAACCCTGTGAGATTTGACTGGAGATAGGGAACCAGCTACAATATAAGAAAAGTCGTCAGTTTATTGACAAGGTTTTGCATTTTGTTCAACACATATCAAATATTTTTAAAACTTCAATAAATAAACAAGGATGAACCTCTCCCCCGTTTCCAAATTGTATGCTATTTACATTATTTAAATAATTCACCAACAAAAGTATAAACTGTGAATAATTTGAGATTCATGAGATTTTCATAGTGATATTTAGGAAGCCCATGCAACTCACAGGCAGTTTTAGACACCAGAGAGTTTATTCTCTCTGTTTCACTAAAGGATCACAACAGTGAAGGCATCATGGGTACCCACAAAACACTGGTCATATAATAAAACATGGGGGGAAAAAACAAAACCTTAAACTTGTTTAAGTCCTAGAAATCATGAAACACAATCTTCAGTATCTAAGTTGTCCCATCACCCTCACGCCACATTTATGTTTTCTGTTTCTTGCATCAATCTGTCTTATTGTTTTCCTACCAACCCTAGGCCATGATGCTATTTTGTAGATGATAAAAAATGAGTGTCCACAGGAAACTCACGCTTTCCTTGGTTCAGACCTTATGTGTTGAGGGGAAAAAGGGGTGGTTCATACATGAATTCTCACTAATGCCCATATTTCATTTCTTGTGCTTACCAATTCTAAAAATCTCTGCTCCAGGGCTTTATACTCCACAGAGTTTTTATTAAACAAATCTTCTGAAAACATCATGTTAGTCACTCGGAGGCTAAAGAAAACCAGCAAAGCTCCTGCAGCCTGTGTCTGATTTGAGTCACCTCTTTTTGTGGGCCTAGCCGCAATAGCCATCTCTGTGGAATGGACATTTGTAGACATTTCCACATAACTACCAACCTTGCCACTTTCTTCTGGGATTAGCTCAGGCTGATAGTAAACTGTGCCTATTCGGTCTAGCTCTAATGAAATATCCTGAACGCCCATAATTACTTCATCCTCCAGCAGGGTGGGGCTTGTGGTTAGAGGCAATTTGGTAGACTGTGTCATGGAAGCTTTCAACCAGAGCTTGTCAATACTCTCCGGTGTACTTGTCAACATGTCTCTGGACAATTTCCCTAGGGAAGAAGTTTTTGCCCGAACTACTTCTGATTCTGGCAATATGGTCCACAAAGGTTGCATATCTGGCTTCACTACTGAAATCTTGCTGTTGAACCATTCACGATTGGATGACTCTGTAGTTTGTTCCATATCCTCCTTTAGAAAGTGTTCTACTTGATCGGGTTTATCAGTAAGAGCAGAGATTACTATAGCTGTCAGTAGAGGAGGTGATTTGGTAACTGAGTAATAATCAATGTCAGGAGCCTCTGAGGTGTGCTTGGAGAGAATGAGAGATACAGATTGAGTTGTGGTCTCTGCAAAGATGGGCACAGTAGATCCACCAAGGGGCTCTTCCTCTGCAAAGTTTGTGGATCTCTCAAAATGCCCATATTTTGAGGACTCCATACTTTCATCTGTGGAATCCATTTTGTCATCTGTAACCAGTTTATCATCAACACCCTCAGTTGGCAAAAGTGAATCCTCATCTTCAAGCCATGACTTGGACAGTGGTTCAGTGCTCTTCTCTAATGAAGTCTCGCTCCATGGCCAAGTAATCAGACTCACCTTTCGCCCAGCCCCTGAACCTAAGCCACTCTCAAATATGAACTCTTTTTCCATGGATGTGTCTGACATCAAAGTGCTCACTTCTAATTGGCCTTTGACTTTGGAGGCCAAAGAGTCCATGCCAAAACGTGTAGTTATTTCTTTAGCAAGAAGATCTAATGTGACAGAGGAGACCAGATATGGGGAGGATGTCAAAGAAACCCCAGAGTCTTCCATGGATGGTATTGTTTCTTTTGGCACAAGATTAGTGAATGGACTTGAAGGCAATGGATCAACTGAAAGAAAATCTTCTGACCCTTCAACTTTGGTTAATCCTAAAAATAAAGTTTTCCATTAATTAATCTGCAGAGTTACCAAAATATATTCCTAGTCCTCCTAATAAAACAAGCTACCTGTTTTCTTTCCCATTAGATTAAGGACAGTTGCTGACTTTTACTTTACTGTATCCAGAAAACAACAAGATGATATAATTATGTTTTTGTGATGTAGTACAATCGCTCATGAACATACCCCCTTTCCCTGAAATAAGATATCGGCTATTGAAATAATTTATCTTCAAACATTTGAATTTTTTTTTTTTTTTTACTCCATGAAAACTGGTGGTAACCCTATTGACAACAAAGACTGAATCTAGTGTAAAGTTAGGGAGAAAATTCCCTAGGAAATTTTGTCTTTGAATTTCCATTTCCTTGTTATGTTTATTGTCCATCATCCTTCAGGTTCACCTAATGTTCAAAATCCTGGAATCATTATTTATATCTTTGTTCATCTTCCACTTTCACATGTATATTCCATGTTTGAGTCACATTGATTTTTCCATTCCTCTACAATATCTAAATCATTTACTTGATTTTCATTTCTTAATCTCTGCTGTAGCTGCCTTAGTTCAGGGTCTTCCCTTCTGAAGCCTAATGCAAGCTAAAAATCTGTTTACTTGGCCCCCATAATTAATCCTATTAAAAGCTACTGGAATAATCTTCTTTGAAGCTGTTTGTTTACCACTCCAATATTCAAATAAGTAAAGTAGTTCTTTAATAGTAATCTAATTATGTATTTTTAATAGGACCTTCAAAATATCTATTAGTTGATCTCCACTCCAGCCCACCAAGTTCATTTTCTATTATTTACTTATTTGGATTCTCCATTCCAACCAATTAAATCAGGTTGTTCCCTTTCTCACACAACTTTCCCAAGACATTTCCTCCTAATGGATGCTACCATTCTTTTTCTATTAACTCTAATCTCTTCTTTCCTCAAAACTCTTGTCATCTAATACAGTAAAGTAAAGAAGTATGAAAAGTGAGCAGAATTCCTTACCATCTTCTAATAAGTGAGATTCAGAATTCCTTTCCTCAGAAGCCACAGGCAAGCCAGTATGAAGCACTGCTGGGGTGACAGGATGAAGAGTCAAACTGCTAACCTCTACAATCTCTGGGGAAGAACTGAGGCCCACCTTCGAGGGAAAGGCTAATTTGAGTGTAGACCCTAAATCACCCAAAGGGCTTTCTGACCACAGTTCCCTGCCAGTGGCTGAGAGAGGACCAGAGCTGAAATCAAGTGGTGAAATACTGCTGGTGGTGGATTCATCTGCTGAGGGCCATTCAACATGAAGGGTATTATCCTGGAGGGGAAAAAAAGGCTAAATCATATCATAGATAAAAAGAAACATATAAAAATGATTTTAAATGCCACTTATTTATCTAAATTCCCAGATTTTCTAGGGACAAGGAGACAATGCAATATTGAGAGGCAGGAGGACATGGGCTCTACAATCAAACAGATCTGTAATCAAATCCCAGTTCAACCACTTACTACAATAGTTGCAAAATCTAGGGGGAAACCATGTACCTCTTGTCACCTGGAAAGTGAGGATAGATGAGATTACATATTTAACAGATCCCAAACAAAGTGAATTTCTAGAAGAAATTATTGTTTCTCTTGCTTTAGGTGCATCCTTTTCCTCTGTCTTAGCTTAAAAACTTTAAATACATAGAAGTTACTAATATCTGTAATTTGTGGTCAAAGGTATAAGCACATTGCCCACAGCAGAAAAGAGCAATTAGCAATTTTATTCATCATTCTGAAAGCATTTAATTAATTAAGATCTTTTGTTTTGATAAGAAATGCCACCACTTCAAAATGTGGTCTGGTTGCCTTGAACAAATAGCAACCGCTGTGAAATGGCATCACACTTACAAAATACAATTTTCTCTTCCTCAAGACTTTTTCTAATGCAGTACTAATCTTATAATAAAGTTTAAATTCAGGAATAGAAAAGTAGACAGAAACACAATCCTTGAAAATGTTAATTATTTAATCCTATGCAGATTAGTCTCTGTAAAAAAGTTTAGTGGTGATGCTAATAGGTAAAATTACCACGACATTTGGTGGGAGCTTATATATTTTCATCTATGCTGGGTTATGAGTAACCAGAAAACAAAAAGTGCCATATACATGGAAGAAATTCATAAAATATATTCTGGGTGAAAAATAAAAAATAAAAATAAAAAAGAACACTCATTCTCTACCCTAAAAAGCATTAAAATCACATGGAAGTTTTTGGTTTTTGTTTTTTTATTTTTTTTAATTGTTATAAGCATTTATTTGAGCCAAACTGCTGATATTTGCAAGCAAGATCTCAAATGTTCCCATGGAAGCTTTTTCTTTTTTTTTAAATTATTTTTTTTCAGTTGCAGTTGATATTCAATATTATTCTGGCAACCATCAGTTCATTCTCTGTATCTATGAGTCTCTGTCTGTTTTCCTTGTTCCTTTATACTATTCTTTAGATTCCACATATAAGTGAGGTCATACGCATATGGTATTTGTCTTTCTCAGTCTGACTTATTTCATTTAGTATAATACTCTCTAGGTTCATCCATATTGTTGCAAATGGTAAGATTTCATTCTTTTCATGGCCGAGTAATATTCCATTGTACATACGTAACACATTTTCTTTATCTAATTGTCTATTGATGGGCAGTTGGGCTGCTTCCATATCTTGGCTATTGTAAATAGTGCTATAACGAACACAGGGGTACAAATACCTTTTTCAAATTAGTGTTTTGGATTTCTGGATAAATACCCAGGAGTGGAATTGCTGGGTCATAATTAGTTCAATTTTTAAGTTTTTAAGGAACCTCCCATGGAAAGTTTTTAAAAACACCAATGCCCAGACCCCACACCCCAGAGATTCTAACTGAATTGGTCTGAGGATGGGACTTAGGCATGATACTTTTAAAAGTTCTCAAACGGAGGATATGGCCTGATCATGTTCTACTCATACTATTCTAGCATGAGTCTCTAAAATACTTCTTTAGTTGTTGAATCATTGTATTTGTCACCAACTGAAACTTATAAAAAATATCTCACATGTATAAAACTGCCTGAAGACTAGAACTCATGGAATAGCTATGAACACAATGAAGTCCATGAAAACTAAGAATAAAAAGCTCTGACTATAACCTCTTCTCCCTCCTCCAAGAGATTCCTACCAGTGGTGGTGAATTTTCACTGGCATATACTCTCAAGCCTCATATGTTTGTTTGTTTGTTTTTAAAGCACACAATTTTAAGGTTGCTAACTGTAGTTCAGTCTATGACCATGAAATAAAACAGAACCTACTGGCATATAAAGAGATTCAACCCAGTGTCATGACCTAATTAGCCTTTTATGCTTTGCCTACACATTTCCTCTCTCCATCAAGGGTCTATGTGAGGAACCTTTAGACAGAACACTCTCCCAATCACAAGGGAGAGAATACGAAACAAGAAATCACTGGACATGTCCCAATTTATCCCTCCTTTAGTGACTAATGCATTGGAGAGATAACAACAGTCAATCATTGGGTAAATATAGAAATACCCTCAGTTTCATCTACAACCTATAAACTAAAAGCATTCTGTCAAGCAAACTAATTTTCTTTTGTGGAGCACAGTGACACCATCACTTCCTACCTTGTTCATGCTATTTTAATTCGGTCCTATCTTAAGTGTGCTACCATGCTGTTTATATGTTATTTGCCACCATCCCAGATCTTCCTCCTTCCTGCTCTCTGACTTGGGAGGCTAACTGCAATGAACTAAATCACCTCTTCTCGCTCACCAGCTGTCTTCTGTTTGAAAACATTTAGACGTATGATCAGAAGATCAAAAACCAGGAAGGGTGAAAAGTTGGGGTATTTCTTCCTTACTCTCTCCAAGCCTCAATACTCTTAACAGTAGCTGCATCCCTCCACAGTTGCAGCTCCAGCTCTCACTGGGCTCGGGTACTAGCATTTCCTCCCCTTGCCCTGTAATCCAATCTCACAGTGGTTAGTTTCCACATATACCTCAACATCCTTTTTTATTAACGCCCTTAACCCTACACATACTACCATCTAGGACAGGGGTCGGCAAACTTTTGAGAAGGAAGAGCCGCCAGGGGTCAGCAAACTATGGCTCATGAACTGTGACTCTGAAGTAAAATTGAAAATGAAAATAAAACTATCATAGTTTCATTTATAAATTTTTTAAAGGATATTATTCACATAATGGTGATTATGTAAAAATAGATTTATGGCTCTCGAGTAATTTTTAAATTGTTGTGAGGGACAGGATTGACTCTTCCAGGGGTCAGCAAACTTTTGAGATGAAATGTATCCAAAGAGCTGCATGTGGTTCGTGAGCTGCAGTTTGCCAACCCCTGATCTAGGTGATTCTTTAACTGTTGAGACCCTGGCTGAGCCAAGTTCTGTAGTCTAATACATTTTAAAAACCCATAAAATTTTGAGTAATTTCTGTCAAAAACTGACTACAGTTGACCCTTAAACAACATGGGGATTAGGGACACTGATCCCCCACCAAGAAGTAAAAAAATCTACATATAAATTTTGAATCCCCCAAAGTTTAACCACTAATAGCCTACTGTTGACCAGACTCCTTACTTAGAACATAAACAGTTCATTAACACATACTGTATTTTGCTGTGTATAATGCACACTTTATTACCCAAATTTGTGAAGAAAAAATAAGGATGCACAATAATGGGTAGTGCTAATTCTGTATCTATATAAATGTTTTTAATTCTTTAATTTATGCTTATGAGTTAAAAGTATAATGCTAGAAATCAATAATGATATCCATATGCAAAATAATACCTTATATAATAATCAATTTTGTTGAATTTATGACGAACTTACAATGAGGAAGAGTTCTTGGCCTTCTATGATGCGTAAATATCGTAAATTTGTTACCAGTATATAAAATTTCTTGTACCTTGTATCTGTTCTTGTGTTTTGTAGTTATTTGTTACATAAAATTCCTTGTACCATAACATGTTAAAAAAATAAATGCTAAAATTCCTCTATAATACAAAAAACAGACTTAAATGTAAACAAAAATTTGAATTAAAAAATTAAAACCAAAGATTTTTTTCCCTGAAAAAGTGGGCCAAAAATGTGCATGAGCATTATACATAACATCACATTATATACAGCAAAATACAGTCTTTTGTATGTTATCTGTATTATACACTGTACTTTTACAATAAGATCAGCTAGAGAAAAGAAAAATTATTAAGATAATCATAAAAAATACATGTATAGTACTGTATATATTTATTTTTTAAATATCCACATATAAGTTGACCCACACAGCTCAAAGCTGTACTGTTCAAGGGTCCACTGTACATAATTCATAATGAAATACAAATGGATATAAAAGGAGGAATGAGAATCATTAAAATAATAACAACATGAACCAAAAGTGGTATTATTCTGGTTAAATTTAAGTTAGAAATAAAGAATCTAGAAAGTAAACATGTACGTGCTGAAAAGTAGATGATGCAATATTAGTTAATATTTGTTGGCAATGTGGCTTTGATCAAAAAAAGGAATAGAATACATCTGGGCATTAGACTGGAGTATAATAACCTGAGTCTGTTGAAGTGAAATATATGAGAGAAAAGCAAGACATATGTAAAAGAAAGAAGCTAAAAGCCATCCTCAAATGAGTAGATACAATAGCAAATGATCTATAAAAAAGAAAAAAACATATTTCAGATAAGAAATTACCTCTTGGGAATTCTCTGTTAGAAGTAAACCTTTAGGATAGTAAGACTTGATTCATGAGTAAGGCCAAAAAAGATTATTGAATCAGGGAGATTTCTGCTATGTTTCTTGTATTTTTTAGTATTTGAAGAGTATATTGGGCTGGCAGAGTGGCGCGATGGTTAAGAACTGGCTTGGGACACCAGAGGGCCCCGGTTCGGATCTCACATATGAGGGCCAGTGACACTGCCCTCCACAGCTAAGATGCTGAACAACAGCTCAACCTGGAGCTGGGCTGCCGGGAGTCGCTGGCGATGGCGTAGGCTGTAGCCCCTGTGGCAGTGGGTTGCCATGGGCTACTGTGTGTAGCCAGCAG